TTGTTTACTTATATTTTGAATCATTTGGTTAAATAATATAAACTGTGTAAAATTAAGAGAGATGTATTTTTTACATTGTTATGCGATTTTGTCTTATTCCTCAACGTATGAGCTGGTGTATTTCTTTGCATCTGTCATTTGTTGTCACAATGCGAAGGTAAATTCCATGAGTTAAATAGTAACTGGATATGTTTTATTTGCAGGAACTCTTTCTAAGAATGGAAACTACAACTTCTGGAGCAGATGCGGAGGTGGTTGTCAATAATCCTTCGCCAGTGGCAGCTCAAAAACAAAGTGCAGATACTCCTCATCGACGCACTCCTTCTAAGAAGCAAAAAAGAACGACTCCATCAGAAAAATCTAAATCTGGGAATAGTGGCAGAGAGACGTTCGAGATTTGGAATCACTTCTCCAAATTATTGCTAAAGGTGGTAAATATAGGGCAAAATGCAATTATTGTCCTAAAAAATTTGCTGCAGGTAAAAAGAATGGGACTACCACATTATGGTTGCATTTAACTTCTACATGTCACAAATCTCCCTTTAGAGTCATTGATAAGAGACAATCAACATTAAAACCTATCAAGGAAGGGTGGCTAGAAGGTGGTTCGGGTGCTACCGAAAGGGTAGTGTATGATGTGGATGACATTAGGAGGGCGATTGCTGAATTTATAATTCTTGATGAGCAACCTTTTAGAGTTGTTGAAGGAGAAGGATTTAAGAAATTAATGGCTAAAGCCTTACCTAATTTTGAATTACCTTCTCGTGTAACTGTTGCTAGACATTGTTTGAGGATTTATCACGAAGTGAAGGCAAAAATTAAAAATCTTATTAAGAACCAACGTGCATGTCTCACTAGTGATACATGGACATCACTACAAAACGTAACTTATATAATTGTTACTGCACATTGGAAAGATGATCAATGGAATCTACAAAAGAAAATTTTGAACTTTTTTCCAACACCGGATCACAAAGGTGAGACTATTGCAAAGGGAATTATAGCATGTTTATTTAGTTGGGGCATTGAGAACTTGTTTACAATGACCTTGGATAATGCAAGTGCTAATGATGCTGCCATTAAGCATTTTAAGTTGTATATTGATGATTGGAAATGGGCAATACTTGGAAATGAGTTTTTGCATGTTAGATGCAATGCTCATATTTTGAACTTGATTGTAAAAGATGGGTTAGATGAACAAATTGAGCCTATTACTCGTGTAAGAAATGCGGTAAAATATGTTAGGTCTTCTCCTTCAAGGTTTGCTTCTTTCAAGTCATTTGTTGAGAAAGCTAAGATAGATACTCATGGTCTTGTAAGTCTTGATGTTGAAACAAGATAGAATTCCACATATACAATGTTAGATACAACTCTAAAATTTTAAAAAGCCTTTACAAAAATGTATGTGGATGGCCATAAGTATCAAAAGTATTGTCGAGAAATAAGTGCTTTAAGAGGAAATCCATCTGCAGACGACTGGAAGAATGTGAAAGCTTTTATCAAGTTTCTTAACATTTTCTATCAGACAACTTAAAAATTTTCAGGCAGTTTATATGCTACTTCCAACTCTTTCTTCCATGAATTTTTCAATCTTCGAAATGTTATTATAAAGCATACCAAAAGTGATGATCGTACTTTGAATGATATGGCATGAAGAATGAAAAGTAAGCTTGAGAAATATTAGGGTAAGTTTGAGGATATGAATATGTTATTGCTTGTTGTTGTTGTGTTGGATCCTAGATACAAGATGAAGTATGTGAACTTCATTCTTACTGTTGGTTCTTTGTTGGGAAGATTAAAGTCTGAAGATGTGGTAAGAATTTTAACTTGCTTGTATAATAACTACATTGATTCTTTTTTTGTGGCTTCTAGTGACAATATTGGAGGCGATACTAGTATGAGTGAAATTGGTGATTTGTTGCAATCAAAGTGGGAGAAACTTTTGGAAGATGAGGGAAATATTAAAAAAAATCTGATCTTGAGATATATTTGATGGATGATGTGGTAAAGATCAAGGATTTTAATATCTTGGCATGGTGGAAAGTTTCATCTAGTAAATATCCAATTGTTTCAAAGATTGCAAGGGATGTTCTTTCTATTCCTATTTCTACTGTTGCATCGGAGTCGGATTTTAGTACAGGTGGTCGAATTCTGGATTCTTATAGGAGTTCTTTATCACCAAAAATAGTGGAAGCACTTATTTGTACTCAATAATGGATACGATCACCTTCCAAGGAATATAAGTTTGAAGACATGTTAGAGAAAGTCCAGAAAATTGAGCAAATTGAGGAAGGTAATAATTTATTCAATTGTTAATGAGTATGGTTATTTTTTACATTAATTAATATTTAAATATGTTAATTGTTTCTTCTTCTTTTTTCCAGAATATGTAGACTCACCTTTGAGGATTGATTAGAGGGATGATTAACTACAATTTGCTTCATGACTATTTTTGGAAGTGAGGTCATTATGCCTTTACAAGTATTTTGAAAACATGCTCCTCTGTTTGTAATATCTACTAAGATGCCCAACTTCTTAGAGTTTAATATATTCTCTTTTTGTTTATCTTTTAGGACTCTTGGGTGTAATGTCTATTTCTTAAAAAGTTGGTAATAATTCTTATGTAGAGTGCAATATGATATGCAGTTTATATTTTTGGTGATAATTTTCTCATTCTGCCTACTTTCTAATGGGTGGGAGGTAAGGGCTAGGAGGTTAGCTAACAGGGACGTAAAAAATGGATAAATTGACAAAGCTGACCAAAATATATGTAGTGAGAAAACTCTTTATTTTCGTTGTATTTTCGTATTAGATACAGACTTAATTAATTAGTTGTCATAATCACAATGAAGCTCCTTGCTTTCTGGTCTTCAGTGTATATCCTTTAGAGAAGGCCTAGGTGGCGATTATTACACCACATAACAAATTTACTTGTTAGAACTTATACATCAATAAGTTTTCTTGTAAATGTACATCTTTTTAGTTAAGAAGAAGGAAGTAGTTAGTTCCCTATAATGGTTTCTAGAAAACGACCCCAACCTTCGTGAACTTTGTGTGATAAAGTTAGATTATTTTTGTTGTTAGTATCTTTTAATGATTTTTATAAGTACTCTACTTAATCCTATGAATCGTCAGTAAAATAAGGAATATGACTAGAAGGATCAAAAGGAGAACAAAGAACATGCGTAAAGTATAGTTGAGGTCAATGCTAAAAAATAAGAAATGGCTGTTATTGGTAAAATTGTATTTAGGACTATAGAAATATTTGAAGCACAACTGCACAAGTTTATCGGAACGAAAAACCCGAGAAACCCGAGAAAAACCGATATTGAAAAATCCGACTTTTATTGGTTTGGTTTGATCTATAAATTTAAAAATTCGATACAATTGATTTGGTTTGATAATTATAAAATCCGAACCAACCTGACCTATGTACACCCCTAGCTGCAATATGTGCGAGTTGTCGCCTTTTTGTCCTTTATTTTGCAAAGGGAAAAGGGGCTATATTTACCTTGTACCATTAGAAATACTATAGTATATTATTATCGTATCATGGAATAACGACTAAGAGATTAAGAGGGTAAAAGGAAAGTTCGAGTTAAAGACAAAAATAGTTACGCTAAATTGCTGGAAACTTATAAATATTTAGAAAATGAACAATGTGCCACATCAATACAGAGCTAAAGTTGTTTATCAAATGAGAAAACGGAAAGATTTTTATCCTCTATAGAACTTACAAGATAACTTTTACATAGAAATCCTCCAGTTCTTCTTGATTTTTCAGAGATCGATTTAGATCTTGCTGTTATCATTATTTAAGTGTAAATAATAGAAAGAACGTTGTACATAAATTGGAAGATGAATTAAAGAGGTCCAACATAATTTATTTTCTCAAAATGAAAAGGGAAGGACGTTATGTTCCAGCTCATAAATCAGGGGAAAGGAAAGGGTTAAGTGCCCAAATAGCCATTCTTAGGACTGTTATTTAGAAATTAGGCAATACTTATTTTTTTCTAGAATTTTGAACAAAAAAATCTTCAATTTCAAGACAATTCAGGACATTTCTCTCCAAAAAAATTAAACTGAAAAACGAAAATTCAAGATATATTGACTAATTTTTAAATAGTAATACTTTAGAGTGGCTACTTAATGTCATTTCTACAAAAAAGATAATGTATAATCCCAGCTCAGAAGACCGACCCAATATTAATGTTAGGCCCATCAAGTTAACGGGAAAAAATAAGCCCAATTAAACCCATACGGTCTCGCTAATCAATTGACGAAAGAGAAGCAATGCACAAAACCTTTAAAGGGCAAAGATCACTTTTAGTGCCGGGCGCCCGAAACTATTTATACACACACAAAAAAAAAATATTTTTTCGACTATTATTTTGAGAGCGATTATGCGCTGTAATTTTCCAATCTTAAACAGCTTCTATGATCGATTGAAAAAAAAGTTCTAAAGCATTCATATTTGGAGGAATCACTACACTTTGCAATAACATTCAATAATCTTGAATATTGATTTGTTTTCTTATCTAAGGCAATTGTTGCATGAAGTATTTACAATTATTGGATAATATAGACACTTGAAACTAAGAATCAAGTTTTTTTTTTTTTTTTGAGGAAAAGTTTTTCTTGTTTGATTAGGTATGTGCATCAATTAGAGTACTGTTTTCTATTTTTACGATTTTTTAGAACTTTTAATATGAAAAGCAAGTCTACACTTCAATATTAGATTGATTATTTATGTTTTAGGACTTGAGTAATTCTCATGTCCCTTTTCTCTCAGGAATAGTTTTTTATTATGATCAAATTACAAATTTGGCACTCTTTATTTTTTACATAGATTTTGTTAATTTTTTTCTTTTCTCTACAAATTTCGATGTTCTCTAAAAAAAAATGTAAGTCTTCGAAATTTTGAAGGTAAACAAAAACTGGAAACTGTTTTTTTCCGCATTTTTTTCTCTCTTTCTTTAACTTTATACAAACGAAAAACCACGACCAGGAGCAGGAGCAACGAACAAAAATGCATTTCCCCTTTTTTCCATTATTATTCGCTCTCTTTTCAGTTTCCCGAGAAGATATAAAAATATTCTCTTAATAAATCCCGTATATCGGGGCAGATTGATTTCGACCTCAACGACCCCCTTACATATTGGAATTTCCCGTTATACCGTTGGCTTCTCGCCGTGGGTATTTTTCTCATTTTTTTTTGTTGATCGACAACAGTGTGTGTGTGTGCGTGAAAATGGGGTCCCTAGAGCAAGAGCAAGTTGTTGATTCTGAGCTTCATGTTGACAACTCTGCTTCTGGTCAGTTAAATCTCATATCTTTTTTTGAGGTTTTCTCCAAATATTTTAAAGGGTTTGAGGTGTGCATATTTCTCTATCTTTTGTGGATTTTTCTTTCAAAGTTTTTTTTTTGGTTATCTTGAGGGGCTTGTGGCCTGAGGGTGTTGCATGTTTATCTATCTTTTGTGGGGGTTTTCTTTCAAAGTTTCTGTTTTTATTTACCTTTATTTAGGTTGAGGCCTTGAGGGTATGGCTTCTTCTTGTTTCCTTTTGGGTGCATCCATAAAGTTTTGTTTGTTTTAAATGAAAGAAAGTAATGCTGCAAAATTAGCTTAATTGGTCTTTAATTCATTACTTAGAGCTGCTGGGAATAGGGATTAAAAGAGAAGGTGTGATTGATAAACAAAAAGATGAAATTAGATGTTGTAGTTAATCATTGACTGGAAAATGAAAGACTCTCAAGTGATTTGTATCTTTTGCCATTTTTTATTTTTAGATAAATAGGCCAAAATGAGAAGTACAAAAACTTGGAATGGATGTTGTCTAGCAAAATTTCAGGTCACTGAATTGTGAAAACAGGTTTTGTCTTCTATTTGTGCCTAGCCGGTTATTTTAGTGCCCGCGCTGTTCCATTTTATGCCACTGGTGTTTGAAAGGGCAGAAAGTTTAAGATGTTTAAAGTAAGTTGAAAAGTTAGTTTGATGAAGGAAACATCACAACAAAGTTCAAATTCTGAACAATTTAATGAACTTAAAATTCTTCAAAGTTTCATTCAAATTGAATGGTTGCAAATATTGTATGACGTCACACAAAGGAAATAGTGTTACATAACTTGGGGTGGATGGTTAATTGATTTTATCAAAAAGGAGGGGAATTTATGGATTATATGATACCATAAAAGTATTTGAATTTTGAATACTATCAAGCTGTCGTGTAAAAGGTAATAACTTACTCTTATTATTGTATTTTTCTTTTCTTTTCTGGATTGGATGTATCAACTGTCTAGCCCCTGTGGCTTCTAGTTGAAATTTTAACTGATTGGTAGTAGTTTACTTATTTCATATTTCTGGAATTTGGCAAGCTCTAATCTGGGGGTTGGGGGTATGAGTAACCTTAGGAGGTTTAATTTGGAAATTTGACCAAAATCCCCACCCCTTCGGGTTAATCGAGTGATATCTAGTGCTTCAAGTCCAACTTCGTTTGCCTCGTAGAAAACTGAATCTGCGCCGAGTGTGCTACCAATAAATTTGTAGACTACAACTTCTGAAGCCTATTTTGGCACTCTTTAATCCTAGGCGTCTAGTGATTTGATAAAGGTTTATCGTGTGAAGGTCTATGTAGTCTCTTGTTCATCGTGTATACAAAATTCTAAGTTCTGAAATGGTGATTTTAACTTGGGAAAGTGATTTATATATTCCATCAGGACTCCTTAACAAGCATAATAGGGAGCTAGAGCATCTGAGTCTGACGAACCAGCCACTAAAGACAGTGAAATTCTTCGTTTTAGCTGTTCTAAAGTGTCTTCAAGAGTTCTCAGTTAACAGCATAGTCAAGTGCAGTTGTCTTGTGATCATGCTGCTAGCAGCCGCAGGTGGGATTTTGTTTTTGAAAAGTGGCAGGGCCTATGAGGAGGTATGTTGTTTTGTTCTCATGTTACAATGCATTTCTTCATAGTGGCAGATACAATGTGACTTGAGGAACTTAAATAACACATTTCTAACATCCCATTAGTCTACCATGTTATATGTATACTAATATTCTGGGGCTCTTGGACTTTTTTTTTTTTTTTTTTTAAAA